TTTGTCCCGCCGCCATATGATGCCTTTGAACCCAATTCTCGTGATAGAAATATTCGATTGTTAGGGGATCGACTTTATGGGTCCATTTCCACCTTCTTCTGGGTACCTTTACATCCTCCTCGCTGTGGATTACGTTTCTAAATGGGTTGAAGCCGTGCCGTGTCAAACTAATGATAATGCAACAGTTGTTAAGTTCTTGAAGGAAAATGTGTTATCTAGGTTTGGCACTCCACGTGCTATCATCAGTGATTAAGGCACTCATTTCTGCAATCGTTCATTTGAGGCTCTTATGCGCAAGTACGGTGTGCTTCATAAGGTTGCTACTGCCTATCATCCACAAATGAATGGCCAAGCTGAGTTGGCGAATAAGGAGATCAAACAAATTCTGGAAAAGACAGTAAACCCCGACTGCAAGGATTAGTCCTTACGTCTTCTTAATGCTCTCTGGGCATACCGCACTGCTTACAAATCCCCTCTTGGGATGTCTCCCTATAGGCTTGTCTTTGGGAAAGCCTGTCATTTATCTGTCGAGCTCGTTGGGCCGTCAAGGCCCTTAACTTTGATCTCAATGCTGCAAGTATTCAAAGAAAGCTCCAATTGTCTGAGATTGAGGAGTTAAGGAATGACGCATACGACAATTCCAGGATCTACAAGGCAAAAATAAAAGCCGCTCATGACAAGCAAATCCTGAGAAAGAATTTTGAGCCAAATCAGCGGGTGCATCTTTATGACTCCCGTTTGCATCTCCACCCAGGTAAGTTAAGGTCGTGATGGACTAGTCCATTTGTGGTGAAACAAGTTTTTCCCAACGGTGCTATCGAGGTTGAGGACCCAAGCGATGGGAGAGTATTCAGAGTCAATGGCCAGAGACTGAAGTATTACATTGAGCGTGTGAGCCAAGCTGAAGAGATCATTCTCGAGGCTCTGGTTTACCAAACTTGACAAGTTTGCTTCCAACCTTTTTGTATCATATTTTTGTTTCTTTGTTTCGTTTGGTGTGTTTTGTATGCTTTTATTTTTAGTTTGATTTTGTGTGATTTTATATTTGTTTGTGTTTTGGAGAATCAGTTCAGGAGGCTCGACTTAATTCCACTGTTCATCATTCAGGTGTTCGCTTTTCCTGTCTTCTTCATATTGCATATATTTTTAGACATTGAGGACATTGTCTGATTTTAGGTTGGGGGTGGTGAGCATATTCATGCGTGAGATGAATTTTTGTCTTGTTGTTATTGGGTCAAAATTTTTGTGCGATTAACTGAGTATGATTTTGAAATGTTCGGTTTGAGTCAGTTTTTGCTATCTTAATTACCAAGAAATGATTTCCAGAGTTATTTTTGAGCACATGCCAGACCTTGTGGTAAGATGGTTGTTGACACATTTGCTTGAGAAAAATTCCCGAGTTTAAGGTTTTCATTTTTGGTGAGTTGTGAGAGTTGAGAAAATAGCTTTTTGAACTTTCATTGATCTTTTGAGTTGGTTGAGTCATTAACGGAGTACCTTTACTTAACTTATGACATTTGCTTGAGGGATGATTTCTGATTAGGAATAATTTTTAGAATTTGAGCCATGTGTTGTAGATAGTTATCATTTTTCTTTTACATTTTATCATAAAAAAAAAGAGCAAGCGCATCATTTATCATCAATGTTTATGTAGTTTGGTTGCACTGACGTCTTGTGCTGCATAGCAGCCAATCAAAAGAATGCCTTACTACATCAGCTTCATCAAATGTATGTTGTCTCTTGCCTCGAAAAAAAAAAAAAA